CTTTAACACCAAAGACAGAATTATGTCAAACATTCAATTTCTAAATCTACCTTTTCAACTCAACATTATGCATAGTAAATAACATTATACCATTATCACACTCAGGTCATTGAAAGCCACAATTAATGATGATGCACATATAAACTGCATTGTGCATAATATCCATAAAATTAGATGAACAGTCTTATAGTGCAACTGCCAAAGGAATAAATGCACATTGAGACAACTAACTAGCACATAAATATGCCTCATCAATTTCTATTTTGACTTTTCCTTATACAAGTATTAATAGTACCTCAGCAGGGTATCCTAAATCATAAACAAGCTTTCTGACAGTGCCTTCATATGCAAGAGATTCAAAAGTCTCAGGTTTGTACTGTGCCAGTGTGTAATCCATGTCAAATCCAACAGCAACTATACTTTTCATGTTTAAGGACCTGTTACAGAATATCTGCTTTCCTATGACAATATCACACCCTCCTTCGGGAGATGACCATATGCATGAACGCTGACCACCAATGGCACCATTTCCCTTCTCAAACAGCGCTGCCCTGGTATCTGCACCAATGCCATCCATTGTACAACTTGTATGTAACTGATCTCTCCCTGAACAGTAATAATGAAAATTAGCTAGTAGGCGATAGTCTATGAGAATGTCGAATTCCACAACAAATCTGACAATTGCAGCATGCACAGAGCTTCCTGTTCAATGCTTGAGGAATAGGAAAAGCATCACGAACTCGCAGAGAAAACTCAAACAAGAAAAGATGTTTTGACCAATCCAATGTTGGTTCCTGTAAGACAAGGCCAAAATCTATCCTTAGAGATGAGAGTTATAGAGATGGCACCCATGAAGAGTTGCATATCATCTCCTGGCCTTTGATTACAATCATTCAGTTAAGGCCTTTCTTCATAAAAACTCATTATGGTATTCATCAACTGCCTATCTATTAGATTGCATAAGTTTATAGTAATCATTGCTCAAACACTGTATGCTAATAAGATACTACCAGAATTACATTCTCCGCAAATTTATTATTAACATTAAAAGAGACAAGACCATTCACCACAAAGAGGATTAACTCTACAACTTCAGCTGCATCTAACATAACTATTTGAAATTCTGAATGTCAATTTCCACCCACATAAGGCAACTTCGATATAACAGTAACAAACACCAGACTCATCGGCACCAACCTTCTCAACTTTCTTTGGGTAGTGGAAATAGTACTATAGATATTAACTTATGCACTGTAGGAAAATAACAAGGACCATGAGTATACTTTTGAATGAATTGACTCTTCCTAGGACTAAAATCTTAGTATTTACCTTTAATCCCACTTGTAAACCAATTCAAAGACCAGGTTTATGCCCCAATGTGTAAGCCTACACTCCAAGATATTGAATACCTATATTTCACCAAAGTGAATTTTACTTATTACAATCGAACTCCTATTGTAAATATGAGCCAAGCTCCAACTAACCTATTAAGCGGAATTGTCTCTTCTTGATCAACTATTCAAGAAGCATAGCCTCATAACAGTGCTCGTAAGAAGCCATAACAAAGACAAGAAAGTGAAACTGATAGATCATAGACTTAGTCACTTTGAAAGAACATCAAAGTTACACCGAAATTGTGGGGAAAAAAAGCCTTCAACTCGACACAATTTACTTTCCTAGGTAACAGAACCAAAATAGTTCAAGCTGAAATCAGCAGCAAATCAAAATTCTCAACACTATGAACTTTCCAGCCTTAAAGAAAGAGAAATCAATTACCATGAAATTTCCACAACATTACAAATGATATTTCTCAACTCGCGAGTGAAGTCGTCATATAGAACCCACTCAACAAAAACACATGAAAGGGACCGCACACCACCGCTAAGATATACAACAGTACATTTTCTTAGAAAAACTGTGTTTAGTTAGCTGTTGAAAGCAAATGCAATGAATAGTAAAGTACAACAACTTCTACAATCACAAACCGAGTTAAGCAAGCAAAAACGTCACCAACCTTTACGACAAACCGATTTCCCTCTGTTCAGAAAATGATCGGAACTGAAAATCCCCAAATGGAAATGAAAACTTCTAGTAAAAGATGAAACCAGTTGTTTCGGAGGAGAGAATACAGAAAGACAGAGAGAAACTGAACGCTTTGGAATTCGCATCTTCGACTTAAATAGCCATTTTGGGGATTTCAAATTGGAATCAAATGCCGCGTGTAGCCGAAACTTATTAGTATTCGAACGGGTTGTTACTGATGACGATGAAGATGCTAATAATATGCTTATAGAATCACAACAATTTGCCCCCTTCATACATTATACATCCATACAGTATCTATCTATCTATCTATATTCTATACAAGTGTATTCTTCTTCTTCTACTACTGTATACAACTTTTTCCTGATTAAACAAAGGTTTTTTCCGGATTACAGGAATTGAATTCCATTTCCCATTTCTACACGGAATCGGATTCCCACAGTATTTTGAGGTGACGTGACGTGATGCAACGGTGAGTTGCCACGTGTCTAGGGTTCAGTCACCGGAGATTGACCGGAAAATTGGAGCTTAAAAATGGCGGAAGAGCAATTTTAGCTAAGGGGTAGGGATGTAGACAGGTGAAATTTTCACTGCCATTGCAATTTTTGAGGCGACCGTTTTTTTTCCTCATTATATATACTTCTCAAGAATTTACCGCGGTAATATACAGTAAGAATATTCCCCCACTGTATATTGCTCGGAGTGGTAGTTTTTTTTTTTACCTAATTAAAGTTTTATAAATGATTTTTTTTGTTTATCATCGAAATATTTGATACTCATATTAGAGTCTGATTAATTTAAATTTCATTTTATAGGATAAACTTAAGAGAAACTATCAATATTTTTTTCATATTCATGACTCTAATTGAGACATTTAGTTAAAAGGAGAAATAACATAATTTGTTCTACCATTTTATTTGATGACAAAAAGTATTATTTAAATGATTTTTTTAGTATTTTATTAGTAATTTATATACGAAATTTAGTACTCACAAAATAATAAAATACTTCCTTTTGTCTCTATGCAACATTTTTAACTGGCTAATGAGTTTAAAATGAAGATTTTTTAATAAAAAAATTATTTTTACTGTCAAACAATAGTTATTCATTATTAATTTAGCATATGAATTAAAAATAGTAAATGATAGAGGTAATTTACCAAATCACTAGCTATAAGTTATTTTAACATTGAAAAATGAATATTATTTAATAGCAAGGATAAGATAAACACAAAATAGTAAATTATTCATTGATTTTATAAAATAGACAAGTATTATTGGACATCTTAAAATAATATAAATATATAGTTGATAAGTAAAAATAGACGGAGAGAGTATTACTATTTAAAATAAGTCATAAATATATAAATTATATTTACATAAAAAAATCAATCATGTTAAAGTAAATTTAAAAGAAAACATGACACGTGAATTGAGGATAAAGATGGTATTATTTTTGGCAAAATATTCTACGTCAAGAATATTAGTACTTACAATACTGTTATTAACTTATTATTGAAAAAGTTTCTTATAAAAAAAGTACTCTTAGCATAATTATTTTGGTATTCCCTGTGTTCCATTATTAAAAATATTTGTCTCACATTACTTTATTACTTATTAAATTAGGATAGAATTAATTAAATTTTTCTCATTTTCCGTCTACAATTAATATGACTTTTGAAAATTTAAACAAGTTTTGGTACTCTTTCTATCCTATATTAGATGAGCATCTTACTAAAAATATTTATCTCATATTACTTGATCACTTATTAAATCATGATAGAATTGATTATTTTTTTTTCCTTTTTACCTCAATAATTAATATGACCTTTGAAAGTTTAAACAAATTTTGAAGAACCAACAATTTCTTAGTTCAGGAGGCAAATTATTATGAATAAGGGTAAAATAGTAAAATTGATTAATCTATTAATATTTTTTTAGTCACCTTATAAAATAAAAAGTGTCCATCTAATAAGAGTCGGACGGAGGTTTTAAGTTAATCATCATTATCTTCTTAAATGTTTTATTTTTCACAGTTTGTCCCCCCATGTTTTTTGGCTAAAAGTTGTAGATTAAAATATTACTATTTACATTGCATTTCACGTGGAAAAATTAATCACCTTTCAAAACCATTAAAGCAAAGCCCATTCGTTCCTTTTTGTTGTCAAATAATTAGCAACACAAGTCATTATCTAATTAAAAACAAAGTAGAATCTTTTTTTAAAAGAATAATATGCCACTAGCTGGAATTAATATTAGACTAATAATTTAAATTACTATTTAAGAATTAGACATGTTGCTTCATGGAAAAAGAAAGATTTGTGCACTAAAAATTACTTACTATTTTATCCAAATTTATGTGATACGATTATAATTTGGTGAGTCTAATTAAAAAAATAAAATGTTATAAAAGTATTTAAAAGATATTTCAAATTATTATGTAATTTCTAAATATATGATTTTATTTTAAAACTTTTGAATATTTGATGTTGATCATATTTTCCAACCAAATTTAACTCTTGTACTCCGAATTCTGCAAGTTGTATTTATATAAACAAAAAGAACCTAGAGAGATAGTTGACTACGATATTATTATTTTGAAACAATTTTTGGGTTATGGAGGGGGAAAGAGACTTTACCAACTTGAATCTCTATCCTTATAGAAGCTACATCAAATTAATGTATATTAATTAGTTATAATTTATGTTTACATTTTACCTTTTTACACTAAATATGTTATTATTATTGTTGTTGATTGATTATAACTTATAAAAAAAATATAATTAATTAATATATATATATTCTATACTTTGCTTAATCACTTTCTTTTCTTCATGACTTCATATGTACAAAGCACGTATACCTTTCTTATAACTAATGACTTATACGTTTGTTATTCTTCTAACAACTTATATATATATCGCATGATACAACTTAAATAATATAAAATCAAAGCGCGCACAAAATCACCGAAAAATGGTACGTACATTGCTTAATTAATTCTCTTTTTTTTTCTTTTACATATTATAATAACTATATATATCTATAATATTTGATTATATATTTTGTATATGTGAAGGGAAATCAAGTGAGTTATGATGAAATTGATCAAATAATGGTAGAGGCATGGGGAGGAAGTGGTGGATCAGAATGGAATTACAAGTTTAAAAGTCCAATTAAAGAGATATTGATAAATCATGGAGAAATTATAGACTCCATCATGTTTATTACTATAAATGAACAAGGAGGTACAATAGAATCACCAAGATTTGGTGGCAATGGAGGTCGAAGAGACAAGGTACATATTTATTTTCGGATCTTCACCCAAATAGCCAGATAGATTTACTGTTTACTTTTTTAGTTGATATACACATAGTTTAAATGATTATACACCCACTCACTATTTTTAAGTTTAACCCATTGGGTGAACGACTATTTAAGTTGATTCTTCTTTATTTTCATGATTGATATATTCTTCTCAATATTTCTTATCATCATTGCAACAAAATCAATTTATTTTCTAGCCTTCAGGTTATCTTATCATCAGACTTGATTTTTATAAATTATGAAAAGATAAGTCAATTTGATATGATAGTGATTTTTTTTAGTACAAGAACATGTGTATAACTATATATTAATTATTTGACCAATATATATATATAAACATCCTTCGAGTAAAAGATGTTTTTCATCTTCAACAAAGAAGATTCAATCGAATTTTTTCATTTAAAATTAATTGATATTATATAGAAGGAGTAAAATAAATTATTTTGTATGTATAAAAGTTATTGAATTCCCTCGATATAAGAGAACCTTCTAATGCAACGACAAAAAATATTCAAATTACTTTTTCTTAGGCCACAAATTTCAAATTCTAAATGTGATTTTCATGCACTTTTCGAGATCTTCATTAAATTTTTTGACTCTGCTACAGTTTTAACCGATGCGTGGTAATTTTTCTATTAATGACAGGTTGTTATTGAGGCGGCTCCGTTGGAATTTTTGAGAGGGATCAAGGGTACATATGGAAATTATGGTGGCAAATTGGTTGTAAAATCTCTAAGTTTTATAACAAATGGAAAGAATATTTATGGACCATTTGGTAAAGAGGCTGGTGGAACTCCATTTTCATTTGTGATGAAAGAAGGTGGAGCTATTGTTGGATTACATGGGCGAGCTGGCTCATACCTCGATGCTATTGGTATTTATTTGAAGAAACTAACTTCATCAAAAGAAGATGAGAAAAAAGTTGAGCCAAATGAACCAATGGTGGAAGAAATTGAAATCCATGACGTACATATATTACCTTTTCTCTCTCTTATTATGAGTTCTTTTATTATCGTATTAGACCTACTATCAAGATCGGTTTATTTGTCAAATAAGTTGAATTTGTCACTAGCGCGCTATATTTTGAACCGATCTTACCAAGAGTTACAAATTCGACCAATTGAACCTTCTAGAACTGTCCCTCTTTAAGAACCAAAATGATTTCATTTGTGCATAAAGACTTAAATTTGATGGGGACCGTGAATACAATACTAACCCTAGACACATGGCAACACATGAGGTTAGTTTTTCCTATACTCCCTAGTAAAATGACATAGTTGAACGAAAAATCAAATCCTTAAGAAAATAATAAACTCTATACTTTTAGGCTCAGATCTTTCTGAAAAACTTGTGAGTGTGTGTGTGTGGGGGGGGGGGGGGGTAAGTTGTATATTTCAAGATGCAACCTCTAGAAAGAAGACGTCCTTTTGCATGCACTTCATCATGTCTCACCAACACCCAACTAAATTTTAGTTCTTTTTTATTTTATCGTTTGTGTTAACCCAAATTTGACTTTTCCAAATAGTTAGGACAGGAAAACTTCCCGTTAAGTCAATATTTACACTAAATCAATATATGCATAATATGTATTTGCACATAAACCTCTTTCAGTACTTAACATATATACTCCCACATGTTATTTAATCGTTTAACCATAGTAAATTAAATAAATTGATGTAAATATCAAGTACGAAATTTTTACACCGATCATAATGAACAAATAATTTTAACTTCACATTTTGCATACACAGAAAATGGATGTGATGAAGACTATTGTGCCAAGAAGTGCTGGACCTTGGGGTGGATGTAGTGGAAAAGGTTGGGATGATGGAGTATTTTGTACTATAAAACAAGTTCAAGTTCATGAGGCTTTACATTACTCAGCTATATCAGCAATTCAAATCGAGTATGAAAAGAAATTAGATAAAACATCATTTTGGTCACAACTTCATGGTCTTGAACCTGGGGCAGAAAGAATTATAAAGGTATGAATTTATCCTTTGTTGTTAGTAAATCGTCTCGTATTTATCCTTCCCACTAATAGAGGTCCTATGTTGTTGTGGTGGACTCCAAGTGTACATAATTGTACTTGAGATTTTCACCTCGTACAAATTTTTGTTCAATTCTTTCGTACTCATTGGATATTTTACCATGTTCAAGAATCCCATTTTTTTCACTTCGCTCTGAAAAACAACAAGGAAAAATTTAGTCATATTTTCATGTGCAAAAGACTCTATTGTCCGCCTCTTTTCGGATGATAAATCTTTCTTAAAAAACGGAGTGTGCATCTAAAGAGTATTTGAATTGAATTTGAGATATTAATGCATGTTCTTCCCAAATTCTCTGACAAAAAGGTCCAAATTTGCCCTCCAACTTTTGACTGTGATTTAAAACTACCCTCATAATAAACATGTAGAAAACAAGATATTTTCTCTAATAATGAGGGTAATATACATTAGACTAAAATCTAATAAAACGCATATCGAGTTGTTCAATTTTGAATAATATATGAGTAACTTTGATCATTTTCTGTAATTTGAATGTAGATGGGTGGATATAAAGGACTCATATAATCAATTTGAAATTGAAATATAATTGATTATTATTATTATTGTGAAGGGAGAAATATTTTTAATTTTTTTTTGATGAATTTGATATGCAGATAAACGTTGATGGTACCGATGAATTCTTTATTGGAATCGAAGGATATTATAGTCCATTGGATCAAAATGGAGGCCAAGACACAATAAGACAAATTACATTTTATACAAATAAAGAAAAATATGGACCTTATGGAATTGAAATTGGAACTTATTTTAGCTCCTCAGCAGCTAGAGGGAAAATTGTTGGTTTTCATGGAAAAAGTGGTGTTTTCTTGAATGCTATTGGTGTCCATATGGAATATTTCTAATTCCTCTTCATGTGTAAGATCTTCAATAATGTGAAAAATAGGAGGAATAAAGACTATAATATACTATATGAACGTCAGGTGATAGTAAGATATCAGTTCCATTTTATTCTCCTTATCATAATATATACTCATGCTAGCTACACTTTTGAGCAATGATATTCTAGTAAATTTTTTTTGAACCTGTACTTGCACGAAAGTGTCCTCCGATTTGATTCATCTATAATTCAGTCATTACGTACGTGCCATATATATATTCCAATCAAGACAACTAAAATAGCTAAATATAAGCTCCATCGATGTTCAAAACTTGTAACAATACACTACTAAAAAAATGTCAAAAAACGACGGTCAAAAGCGACGGACTGCGTCATTTTTTTGGTCAAAATCAACGGAAAAGCGATGCAGTCACCTCCGTCGCTTTTTAGCTCTACGCTTTTCAAAAAGCAACGGACAGCGTCGCTTTTCAAAAAGCGACGGACTGCGTCTCTTTTAGCGACGAACGGCGTCGCATTTTTACTTTTTTTTTTTGAATTTTTGTAAAAAAACGACGGAGTCCGTCGCTTTATTTTAATTTTTTTTTTATTTCTAAAAGGCGACGCAGTCCGTCGCTTTTCTGGAAATTTTATTTTTGAAAATCCCAGAAAAGTGACGGACTAAACCACTCTGTCCGTCGCTTTTATGGGTTTTTCAAAAAATTAACCCCAGAAAAGCGACGGACTAAACTACTCTGTCCGTCGCTTTTTCTGCAATATTTTTGACAGCAAAAACTAGCAGTTTCTGCTGCCCACCTGCAAATGCAATTCAATTCAATTCTACACTATTCATCCCAGTCAAACACACACAATTATAAACAATCTAAACAAAACATAAAACAACAAACTTAAAATAACATTCAAAAGTATCTAAATCACAAATTAAACACTTATAAAGTCTTTTAAAATTCGTTTCAAAATTTCAAAAAGTTCATAAATGTCCAAAGATCTAAACTAGGGAGTGAGATCTACATAATCATCATCATCACTCTTGTCGTCGGTGTCATCGGGGGCG